ACAGATACACACATGAACAGCATTGGTACCTTCCACTACCGGTGTCTACGCTCTATTGCAAACATACCCACCACATGGGGGGCCATGCAGATAGGAATACCACGCACTTCAAACGAAGCAGTGCGGGACATGTTGGGCGAAACGCTACTTAGTGACGAAGTTCGGTTACATCAGCTCAAATTACTGGGGCACATTTTGAGGCGGCCGCAGGAGCACCGTGCCCGAATAGTTTCATTCGACCCGTTCCTTGAACCTCAACAGTGGGGGGGCCCTTTCCGGGCCGGCAGACGGCGCAGTAAGTGGACAGAACAGGTGCTTGCCTTGGCTACGACCATTTGTAACGACCATTTCTTCCAGGGGCGGGGGGGGGAACGGGAAGTTAAACACAAGCTACTGGAAGTGGCCTCAGATCGTGACCGGTGGTCCAGAGTACTAGGTCTTTCTAAGCGAAGTTGGCGTCGCCAACGGGAAGCTGCTGAGCACGCCCATGGCACTTGAAAAGATCATTTAGGTGGGGCCTGTTGGGTGTTTCCTAAACCTTGAAACCTAAAACCCGAAATCCTAAATCCTGAAACCCTAACTGGCGCGGTCCACGGACTAGCTGACGCGGACGCATCTTTTAATTTTACTGACGCGATCATTGTCGCAGGCTATCTGGCGGGGCCAATCTTTACTTTTACCCTTATATATCAAATTATATAGTATATTGTAGTATATTCTAGTATGCTACCGTATATCCTGGAAAAGAAAATGGAAAGGATTTGTTTTTCTAACCTTTAAACCATAAGAATTTTCGCACGGTGGATTTTGGCCGCCACTCTACTGGCTTTCTAGATAAGGGTCTGTATGGTGACGATTATTTGGAGGGGCTTAAGGGGGCTAAGTAAGTTAAGTCTTTCAGGTAGGGTTTAGGGTTTGGGCAGGATTTAGGGCTTGGGTTCGTCTAGGGGCCCATGTTTGAACTTTAGACCCTTGGTGATCTGAGGGTCCTTCAAACAAGGCTGGACAAGATCTCAACTTGGGATGTGGGTAACATAAGAAGAGAATGATCTTGCTTGGTTCAACCAATACCCCTAAACCCTACACCC